CTGGCCAAGAAACCGCTCACAGACGTGCCTGCACTAAATCGGTGATCACACTAGCCATCAGAGGAATGAGGCGCAGGCGCAGGAGGCTAGCACACAAGGGCAAATCCTTTCTTCATCCCCCTACTCCAGCCTCTCCCTCTTCACTGGATGCTTCATGGGAGTGCCAGGGAAGAGCCCAGGCCTCACCCAGAGAAATGAAACAGGAGTCGGAAGGAGAAGCTGAGCTGTCTTGGAACTCACTCTGTAGAGCAGACCAGCCTCGAACTCACAGAGATCCACCTGCCTCTGCCTTCCAAGTGCTAGGATTAAAGGCGTGTACCATTGCCTGGCTTGTTTCAGGACAACTTTTGGTAGCTGTTTCTCTCCTTATGCCATATGTGTCCCTGGAATCGAACTTGGCTCATCAGGCTTGGCAACAAGCCCCTTTGCCTACTGAGCCATCTCCCTAAGCTAAGCATCCCAAGTTTAAAGGAATCTTTGCCATCTGGAGAACAGCTTAAAGGTATGCCTGGAGGCTGGCCTCCTGGTCACCGAGTCTGTCAGGTTGACACTATCACAAGGGCATTCCTTTTCCAGCATATTTGCTGCTTAAATTACTCTCCAGGGGAAGACATAGCCCTGTACACTCCTACCCCTAAGGTTCAGGTGACAAGTCAAGGCATGATTCTACCAGTGTTCACTCTGGGGAACCAGTGCATTTATTGGGTTTCCTTACAAAGCATAGGTTAGAGGTTACTTTCTGAAGTGTGGATACTCCTCCTCAAAAGACCACACCAAAAAGTTTTTACCCAGAAGGGATGATGGTTCGCCCATAGCCACACAGATGGTGTTCCTTCCCCTAGTCTTCCTGGGCCAATATACTCAAGCTCCTCCCCAAGGCTGTGTGCACTTAGGGCAGAGTTGCATACAGCAGGAGATATGGAACAGCTGGATACTCAGGAGAGGGTCTCATGCCCATGGCCACCCTTGTATGAGGGATATAAACAGTCGAAGCTTAACCTCCAAAGATGGCTGTTGTTGGGCTTCAGTGACAGCGTATAACAGTCTTGTACAACACGGTATACTTCATCCTCCTGGGTGTTGGCTCTGTGACTGTCCTCATCCTGTGGATGGAGAAGGGGTTGGGGTCACCTGGGGTCACCAGCACGGCAAGCAGCCTGGCTTGGAACGAGAGGCTTTGGCCTCGCATGAACTCCATTCCACCTTCCCCAGGAAGGGCCCCAGAGATAAACATCGTGTCTCTCCTTTTGCAGACACAGATGAGAGCTGTAGGGGGATCTTGGCCTTTTCTCTTACAGTCTAACCTGTGGACCACAGGGAACCACCAGTTCCAGTTTGCCCAGTTTGTTCCCCACAGGTCCCATGCTCCAATTGTCTTAGCACAGTTGGTACCTGTTGTCTTTCTTAGTCACCCCTGGCCAGCTAAAAGGCTGAACACCCTGATGGAGCCTGGGAGTCCTTTCCAATTACATTAGCTTCTGGCATCACAGAAGGGAGACGCTGCCCTCCCTCCTCTGAGTCTTCCTGTGGCTCCCTGGGACTTAGTGATTCAGCAGGAGGTCAGAGCCAGGCTGGACTGTGACTTCCAGGGAGTGGAGTACAGCCAGGGCAGCCATTGCCGTCACTAACCTAAGGCTGCAGTCGGGTGAGGTGGGAACTTGACTCGGGGAATTGGACCCCAACAGAGGGTGCCCGCTGTCCCGTCAGGCCAGAACTGACTGAAGGACAGTAGGTGGGTGTGCCCGAGGTGGGGGAGCCCTGCCTTTTCCTACCCTGTCTGGTATGTGAGGGATGGGGGAGTCCCAGATACCTAAGCTGCTTCTCAGCGGATTCAGCAGCTAAAAATACAGACTGGCTTTGCTGAAAGGTGCCCAACCGGAAATATCCTCAAAATTTCCTACTAGGGCAGTGCTTTCTCTGGGCTGGGGGCAGGCACCTTAGGGATTCCTCTGACTACCTCTCCACCAATTAGTTATGACCTGCCTGCCCCCACTGCCAAGACTCCTTTTCTACCCACCCAGTTGTCAGCCCCAGGGTGCTGCCTTCTGCTCTGCTCCAGCACCCATAGCTCCAGGAGGGTAGGGCTTGTGTGTCACCTCAGAGCTAAACCAGGGTTCCCAGTTTGGGGCCCAACCCAACCACACCCACTCGTTGCCTGATTCAGGGCAAGGAAGTATCTCTAACCCTTGCTCTTCTTTCCTGAAAGAAAGAAGCATAGTATCTACAGGGAGGAAGGTCCAGGAACCCTGGGGGAGAGCTACAGACTCCCATCATAGGACAAGGCTAGAGGTTTTGTCTGGAAATTTGAATATGTCGCTCCTACTTTGTACAAATATTACGAAGGGGTGGCTGGGTTGCTTATGCAACCCTGGCCCAGCCCCAGAGTCCTAAGGAAGCCTGTCAGAAGCACAGGCAACTACGTAGGGTTGGGTGGCTCCACCCTGAGTTTCTAGCCAGCTTTCTAGATGATTCTATTGAATGGTCAGCCCAAGATTCACTAATGTAGTGCTTGGTACAAAGGCATGCAAGACTTGTGACTTATATCTCATTCCTCTGTTCCCCTGCCCGTGGGGACAGCATGCCTGCCTCCCAACTCGGGCTGCTAACCAGTTCAAAGATAATCTCAGGTGCTCTTCAGCAAGGAAAAGGTAGCCATTGAAGTGAGGGGACCACTCCCTCCCTCTACTGGCAGCCTTGGGAATGGTCAGTGGGTTGTGGAGTCCCAGAACTCAGCAAGCCCTATGGGAAAATGGTGGCTCTGAATTGTCAACCGTGCCCTGCCCTTCTCCTTGGCCAGCCTCAATGGAAGAGCTGAAAAAGGAATTCCCTCTCTGGGTGGGAGACAGCCACCTTTCCTTGCTGGGAATTCTCCCCACATTTGAACATCAAGGGGGCACTGCCAAGCATCCTAGGGCACAGCCTCTGCCAGTCTGTCTTCTCCTTCAGCAAATGTCCTAGCTGGGTACTATGGCTGTGATAAAACAACCTGTACAAATCGGGGTGGAAAGGGTTTATCTGGCTTACACTTTCACATCACCGTTCATCACTGGAGAAAGTCGGGACAGGAACTCAAGCAGGGCAGGAACCTGAAGGCAGGAGCTGATACAGAGGCCATGGAGGGATGCTGCTTACTGGCTTGCTTCTCATGGCTTCCTCAGCCTGCCTTCTTGTCAAACCAAGGACCACCAGCCCAGGGATGGCTCCACCCACAATGGGCTCCCCCCCCCCATCAATCACTAACTAAGGACATGCCCTAAGGCTTGCCTGGAGCTTGGTCTTAAGAATGCATTTTCTCCCTTGAGGCTTCCTGATTTCTGTTGTCTCTCTTTTTTTTTTTTTGTCAAGTTGTTATAAACCAGTCACCACCCAAGGGAAACAGGGTAAGACACCCTCCCTCTTCTGAGTGATTGGAAACAAACTTGTGCCACCAAGTCCAGGTCTCCTCCCCTCCCCAATTCTTTTAGGAGGCAACAACAAAATCTCTGCCCCACAGGCCTTCCAGGTTTGATTCTTCCTGGAGACTTATGAACCACAAACCCCTCCTCACTCTGGGTGATGCTGGGCAGTGAATGAGCCTCATCTGCAAAGTGGGGCTGATCAAACTGGTCTAGAAGGACTGGCACATGCCAGTCATCACAGCACCCAGGAGGGAGAGGCAAGCAAAAGTTCAGCCTAGACTACATAGTGAGACCTTGTCTTAATACCAAACAAGAAGTACAGCTTCCCAGGCTCTGCCCAGACATTGGGCGATGGAGTGAGGTAGTGCCTGAATCCCTGAGTGTGTAGGCAATCACTCTCCTCTTGGCTGAGAGTCTCTCCCTATGGGCTGCCTGCCTGCCCTTCTCCAGTGAGACCCTCCTCCTCCAGGGAGCAGGTCCAGCTAGCTAATTTGCTTGGCCAAAAATGGGTAGCAAGTGGCATTTTCTTTGGTCCTCAGGGACTAGGAAGGCAATTCCTCTTGTCTCCAGATAAGTCCCAAGTTGGCCCCTGTGCTGTTTCCTGGGCATTAACAGAATTCAGATTTTAAGAATACGTGAGGCTGGAGACTGACCATAAGGGAGGGTGCAGAGGCAACCAGAGAGAGTCTGCCTCTGCCTGATACTGAGTCTAGGCCTATGGGAGCCCTGGAGGCAGAGTGAACAGACTCAAACCTGTCCATTCGGGGCAGATGGGGGATGGGAGGGGCTATATGCCTAAGGTTACCAAGAGTTATTTTAAGTGACATGATTTAAACCCAGTGCTCACTTTAGAAGCTCACTCTCCATTCCCACCACTCTCTGCTTCCTAGGTACCCCCCCCCCCGCAGTGTTCCACAGAGCAGAATGCCCAGTGTCAGCCTTAGCCTTTAAAGAAAAAGAACTATAGATGCTAAATATTGTTCCTGCATGCGATGTTTGCCCATCACCTGTGCCAGTCACAAAAGATGAAGTGGTTTAAAGCCGCTTGCATGCCTTGGCGGGGGAGGGGGAGCCTTGGGTACATGGGATGGGGCGCCACTGAAGCAAAGGGTCTTACAAACTAATTGTAGGAGAGTGAGCATGCCACTGGGCTAGCAATGCAAAGTTTTGGGAGGGTTCCAGAAGTGGGAATGGGCTCAACACTGGTCAGAGTGTGGGCAATCAACCACCTTCTGGTAGCCTCAGTTTCCCTGTTTAGCAAGCGGACTTGAACCTCCTGTTATCTCCCTCGGATCTAGTGAGGATTATAGAAAGGCGAGCCTTTTGGGCAGGCTGGGGCGCGGTCCGGGTGCGGTGAGGCAGGGCGGGGCGAGGAGGCTGATCGCGCCGGCGGGGAGGCCGGGCTGTTGGGGAGGCTGGGCTGCCGGGACGGCGGGCGGGTATCGCAGCGCGCAGTGCGTGCAACTGCGGAGCGCGCCGCTCGCTCGGCCGCGGCATCACATGAGCAGAGGCACCGGGAGCTGCCGGTGGGCGCCCCATCATCTGCAGCCCCGAGTCCCTGCCGGTCCTAACCATGTCTATCTGTTGTTGTTTCTTTTTCAGAGACTATGGCAGTTCCAAGAGGAAATCAGGTAAGGGAGTCTCGGCGCTTTTCTCTCTCACGCACGCGTCCCTCTGATCCTGCGCAGGACTTTCGGGGGAGGGGGAATGTCTGCCCGGCCTGCTGGCACCGTGGTCCTGTCTGCTGGGGGATGCATCTATTGCCCCCTCTCTGACCCTTGTCCTCTTAAGTTCTCTGCCACTCACACCTTCGTTCTCCTCTTTAGTCCTTCTGGCTCCTGGATGGGAGTGGGGTGCATGGGGTAGGGGATGTCTCGGGAAGGGTCGAAGCCACCGCAGCATCTTCAGCCGGATCCTGCACCCCAGCCGCAGGAGCCACTGCTGGATACTGCTGTGCCTTTTCCGTGCGTCCTTCGCGCTGCGGTGGAAGAGTTTGTGGATATACAGGGTCTTGCGTGGGAAAGTGAGAGGGGAATGAGAAGGGGTCGCTCTTGAGAGACTTAGGTTTGTTGGACCTGAACCCTCCCCCCAGCTCTGAGCTTGCGCTCCGGGGTTGTGTGTGTATTGGGGGGGGGGGAATCTGCTGCAGCCGCGTGGCTTGCAGAGACGTAGGAGGGGGGGTCCCCAGTCCCCAGTAGGTATAGGCCCTCCCCAAGAAAAAGAGCGAGGTTATTCTCTGACAGCGAGGCTGTCTCTAGAGGGCCAGAAGATTCTGGGTGCGGGAGGCTCTCCCAAATGGCACACGTCTGGGTGTGGGCGGGGTGTAGTTACTTGGGGGAGGGCGATCCTTTAAAATTAGTGGGGTGAGTTCTGGGATGCAGTGCTGGGGCAGAGCGAGTTAGGTTGGCATGTGTGATTTCTGTATGTGTTTTATGTATGGTGGGGCGTCATGGACAGTCTTCTGAAGAGTCTGACTCTTGGGGATAAGTCCAAATAGCTCACATTCAAGGGCCCTATGTCTCGATGTCGGAGGTGGGAGGTGGGAGGTGGGAGGAGGTGTGTGTGGGTGTTAGGGTCTGTGGACCAAGTAGAGGCTTGCGTGCTGCTCGTGGTGGGTGGGAATTGAGATGGAAGTAATTGTATTCTGTGTCCTTGTAAGTATAGGATTGGATGTGCTGTGTGTACAGATGCTCTCCCATCAGCTAACTGGGAGGAACAAAGTTGTGTCCTTGGGTGTGGGAGACCAAGTATTGGGTTGTGTGGACGTGGGTGGTCCTGCTGATAACTGGGCAGTACCTGTGTCTGCATCTTTGTGTGCATAGGCTGTGCCCTCTGTGTATTGGCTGAAGCCTGTTCAAGCGTGTTTATATACTTAGTTGTGGGTAAGACGTGTGTGTGTGTGTGTGTGTGTGTGTGTGTGTGTACATGTCTAACAGCTGTGCCGGGGTATCTGAGCTATGTCCTGAAGCAGAAGGGCATCTCCTTTTGTGAAAAAGGAGAGTGAGGAGCCTAAAAAGTTTTGTCATCAACACTACCAGCCAAGAGAACTGGGCTGGAAGGGCAAACCTGGGCTCTGATAGCCAAGACAATTGTCTGAAGTGTAAGTCTAATGCACTAGGTAATGCTGAACTCCAGCTTACTGCTTGGCTTTGGGAAGTTTCTTCATTGTGTTTAAAACAATAATGATGATAATACCTGCCTCGTATAATATAGAATATCCCATAATATAGAATAGCACATAATAAAACTATAGCATCATGTAGTAATATACAGTACTATTATATGGCGTATATGTTATATATCTGTATTATATATTCTATATAGTGCTATATAATAGTGCTATTATAAAATACTATAGCAGTAGTGGTTACCATTGTCCTTGTGGTCCGCCTGTTTAAGGTGGGGTCCTGCTCCTCCCCCCTGCCCTACCAAGGGTGCCTCCTCTCTGTTTCACTGCCTTCCACCTCCATCCAGGAAAAAGACAGATGAGGAAATTGAATTTACATTGGTATGCTTATGGTAATGGCCACTTAGTGTCATGGTTAAAGTGCCAGGCTGGAGCCAGGCTCTTTCTGCTGTGACTCTTGGGAGATGTTCTCTCTCTCAGTACCTATTCTGTCTTTTGCAAATTAGGAATATTTGCATCCACTTTGTGGCGGTTAAGTTTTCCTCTTTAGGTAGCTAATCTTCGTATGTACTTAGGTAGGCCATCTTGCCCAGATGTTTGGTCAGGCCTTAATTTGTATGTTTCTGTAAGATGTTGTTTAATGAAATTAACATTTAAGTCAGTGAACCCTGAATAAATTTAATTACCCTCTCTAAAATGGGTGGGCCTTATCCAATCAATTGAAGCCCTTAATAGAAAACATGCACGCGTGAGCACACACACACACACACACACACACAGACCAAGATCTGCCATAGCTTGCCTTTGGAGTTGACTGCAGCTCGTTCCCAGGCTCCCGACTGCTCCCTTATTAGACTTGTGCTCACCAAGTCTCCACAGCCATGTGAGCCAATTTCTAAAATAAATCCTTTATTTCCCCTCTATGTGCACATCATGTTGGCCTGTTTCTCTGAAGAACGCTAGCACACACCTCCACACACACACCTCTATGGCAGTAATGAAGACTAGATACGTTAGTGTCAGAGTGTGGCTACATCATTCTCTGCAGGAGAGAAGGCCTTCCTGAGGCGCCAGTTCCTGTTACTCAGTGAGCCCGCGGTGCCCAGAATTTCACATGTGTTCATATTCTGCTCTACCACACTGCAAGGAGAAACCACTGACAGCTCCAAGCACACACAGAATCAGAGTCCAGGTTTAGAGCTCACTCCCGCTGCACAGTGGAACTACCCAGGGTCGCTCGCACCGAACAGGTAGGGGCTGTTTTTGTCTGCTTTCCAGCCAAGTTCCAAAGCTTGGCTCCTTCACAGAAGATCCTTGCTGCTCATGGAACCGAGGACACTTTTCTAGAAGCAGTCTGGACAGGGTCCAGGTTTGCTCTGTCTCGTACTCTGGTGAGCAGGTACATGTCAGCAGGTACATGTCATTGTGCCCTGCTGGAGTTTAAAACTTCTAAAGCAGGGTTCCAGTCAGAGTGCTGATTTGGTATGCATGAACTGTTAGGCTTTAATCCCCAGGACCCGATAAACCCAGTCTGGCAGTCTGTGCCTGCAACCTGGCCACTCGGGAACTCTAGGTAGGAGGGTCAGAAGCTTAAAGGCGGCCTTGGCCGTACAATAATCATCCCTGGTTACATGAGACTCTGAACCAGTTCTCGAAGTCCTGGATAGACGCTACGGTGGGAAAGGCTGATTGACAGGCTGATGAGAGAGCATCAATGCTGTGGAGAGTTGGGCTGTTGGAAGTCTAGCACCTAATCATTTTGACTCGTCATTCGTTTCACCCATAGCCGTTTTTTGCCTCTGTCTGTATGTGACCTAACATTCTTGTGACCATTAAGTGAATCATTTGGGATATATGAACAGAACCCTAGTTTCCACCAACCAAAGGCCTAAGAATACTGTCAGTGTTTCCTGAAGCCTCCAGTGGAGCCTCCACCCCACCCTCCCCATGCAGCTGCTGCCTGCCCACCTGACGGACCGATGGATTTGAAAGTGTATCGCTTTATGACTTTGCTTCTGTTCCTATAAACAAGATTGCAGCCGCTTTGGAACATGCTATTTGGGGGAAACATGAACCTTTGTTCTTAGGCTGTGGTTACTCAGAGTGGGCTCTGGAATGAACCAGCCACTTTGTTCCTTTGAGGTGAGAGAGCTGCTTCTGTAGTAGATGAGATCCTGTCTCCCCCTCCCCCTCCCTCCCCCCCCCAAAAAAAAGGGGGGGAGGGGTGTGCAGAGCAGAGGAAGAACAATGTCACGTGGCATACAGCCTGGTGAGGGGACAGGACCGGTGACATTTGACAGAGAGAGGGGGTGGCTTGAACTTTTTCTGCATCTCTCCTCCCTGGCCCCCCACCCCCAAATCTTGCCATGATCTGGTATTGTCTGCTGAACGACCAGAAGAGATCTTTGGGCCCTCTCTTCTTTCTGCCTGTCAGTCAGACCTCCTGATCCACTCACTTCTGCCTGTGCCCCCTGTCGTGTGGGTCAGAAGCCTTCCGCCTCCGAGGGACTCCCCTCAGCTTCCCCAGAAGCCCCCAGGGCTTCCACCTTTACTCCTGCCGTTGCCATTCCCCGCAGCACCGCTAGAGGGCACTCTTGAAATACATTCCAACCCTCCTGAAATTCCCCGAGGGACTTCCACACCACGAAGAACAACTCCTTTTTCTGGCTTCAGAGCCCTGCATAATTGATCCCCGCCTCCTTTGTGACCCGGGCTCTGCCCCTACACACATTCCCACCAGGTCGAACCTGTTCAACCGCACGGTCATCGTCTGCTCCTCAGACGGCACGCTCATTCCTTGGCGACCGTGGCTGGCTCACTCTTTGTTGTTTACCGTCTCGGAGGAGCCACCCCGGCCGCGCCCTCTGAAATCTCTGCTCCTTCCCTGTGGCTGGCACTCTAACTTTGTACGCGTTCTTGCTTACTGCCTATCTCCCACCACCTTGAAACCTTGGCCGTAGGGCATGCGCCCTACAGTGATTTGGAGTAATTTGGAAACTGAGTACCTGGATCATGCGGCGAGTGAGACTCAGGAAAGGTGGCCTCTCACCCAGGCTTGGGGGACGTTGGACACAGAAGGAACTTTTCTGACTTGGGAGCAGAGAGCCAGAGGCTCTGGTTATCCAGAGAGAGAACCCTCAGAAATCTGAGCAAGCTTGTTTGGAAATCAGTTATATGACCTTATTGAGCTCCCCAGCTGTATGCCAGGCACAGAACACATGCTGGTGTTACAGAAATATGCCTGCTATTTGGAAGTTCGCAGTGACAAGCTGTTCTATGAAAAGGCACTGTGTGTCACAGGGGAGCGATGGAGTAACATGTACACCAGCCACTCAAGCAGGACTATGGCAGGGAAGAGGATGAGCAGGGCAGTGGGGGGTAACGGGTGGGGGTGGAGTGGGGCAGGATGTCGAGGAGGTGGGAGGTTACAACATAGATTGCACAGGATGTTGTCGTTTTCTGAATGAACTGAGGGTCACTAAAGAGATGTGTTGGGTACAGTGA